TTCTTTGAATCCTTGAAGGCGGTGTATGGACCGAGATTGGAGCCGCTGAGGACACTGATCGATGGTAGTTCAGGCGCTACCTGCACACAGACTGCAGACATAATGCAGATCTGGCGAAAACACTTTGACTGTCTCTTGAACAACCGTTCAGAGATCGACTGGCCTACATTGAACGGCCTCAAGCAGCACGATGGGAAGGCGAATTTGGCGGATACGCCGACAATGGATGAGACGCAGAGAGCACTTGCTCAGCTGCGAAACGGCAAGTGTGCCGGGGCCGACGGGATCCCGCCTGAAGTATTGAAACACGGCGGACCCGCGTTGTTGACTGCGCTGCACCACTTGGTGCAACGTGTATGGATTGAGGAGGAGGGCCTCCTGAGCTGAAGGATGCCTTTGTGCTACCACTGTACAAGTACAAAGGTAGCAAGCAATGTTGCACGAATTATCGTGGCATCAACCTGCTGTGTTGTGTGGGCAAGGTGATTGTCCGAATCCTGCTCAACCGCCTCGTCAGTCAGGTTGTGGAACCTAACGTAGCGGAAGAGCAATGCGGATTCCGTTCGGGTCGCAGCACTATAGAAATGGTGTTTGCGGCTCGTCAGTTGCAATAGAAGTGCAGAGAACGACACCAGCCATTGTACTCGCTATCTGTTGATTTCACCAAGGCATTTGATACGGTGAACCGCGAGGCATTGTGGCTGGTGTTGGGTAAGTTTGGTTGCCCGCGTAAGTTTGTAAGTTGAATTGAATGTCTGCACAGTGGTATGCGAGCGAGGGTGCAGCTGAGTGGAGAGACCTCGGATGACTTTGCAGTTGTCTCTGGTGTGAAGCAAGGCTGTGTCTCAGCTCCTGCCCTGTTTAATATATATCTTCATGCAATGTTGTTCTGTGCATTTGATGCCGCTTGTGCTTACGGTGTTCGTGTGGAGCACCGTATTGATGGTGGGTTGCTGAACATCCGTCGTTTCGGTGCGAGAACTCTAGTCTGTGAGACAACTATCCGTATGTTGCTGTTTGCTGACGACTGTGCGTTGTTTTCACACAGCGCGGATGAGTTGCAGCACATGACTAGTGCTCTGGCTTCGACAGCTGCAAAATTCGGGCTCACCATCAACACAAGCAAAACTGTCTGTCTCTTTCAGCCTTCTCCGGAGGTGCAATCTTCAATATTGCCGCGAATCAGCATTGGTGCTGAAGTATTGGAAACCACCTCCCGCTTTTGCTACCTTGGGAGTGTGATATCGACTGATCAGCAGCTACACGTTGAGTTGCGTATTCGCTTGTCGAAGGCAGCGGAGGCATTCGGGAAGCTTGAGTACCGGGTGTAGAACAACCATCAGCTTACCATTGGCACGAAGCTGATGGTGTACAAATCCATGGTGCTGTCCGTTCTTCTATACGGCAGTGAAACGTGGACGATGTGCCGTCGGGATGTGCGATATCTCGAGCGGTTCCATCAGCAGTGTCTGCGACGGATTATGCGCATCGGCTGGGGCGACAGAGTTGCAGACACGGATGTTTTGCGCCGAAGTGGGATATATGCAGTGGACTGCATACTTTTATTGAGACAACTGAGGTGGCTTGGTCATGTGAGCCGTATGGATTCGACGCGGATACCGAAGCAGCTCTTATACGGTCAGCTGAGTATAGGGAAGCGGCACGTGGGGAAACCAAAGTTACGATACCAGGACATGATTAAAGTGAGCCTCACACGTTCTAATCTTGATTGCAGATCATGGGAATCGAAGGCGGTTGATCGCCTTGCATAGCGCGATCTGATCACGAAGGCAGTTGCTGAGGTGCAGGAGAAAGCCCTCATGCATGCAGAGAAGAAGCGGCAAGCACCGATGGGTTGTTCTCCATCGATATCATGCGCATGGTGCTGTACCACGCGGTCGCGAGTGCCTTAGTCAGGCAGGCTTAGTGAGCCATGAGCGAGGCAACTCGGGACCACTACCGAAGCGACGACGGGTCCTGCAGAGAACGTAGACAGAACCGGCGCAGCTTTTGTAGGCACGCTACATTCGATTTACTAACCGCGTGCTTGCATGCTAAGTCTCTTTATTTCAGGTGTTGGGTTTTCAATTTTGCCTAAATGCTTTTCTTTCTCATATAACTGTCTACCTGTACTCTATTCCATTAACTTGCACACCTCGCTTAAGCCAACTGTAGTCGATTTCCGTAGCATTTTTGTGTTCGTGGCATTTCCGTATAGTATACTTTCTCACCTCGTTAACTTATCTAGGATCCGTTTGTAAACAACCTATTTCATATGCACATTAACTTGAGGTTTATGTCACCGTTTCCGTATGCATCAATCGAGCTATTTTCTTTCCCCCTCTCTCTCTCAAGTGTTTCGCTGTTGTTTGATATCCCAGGTGTGGCTGCGCTTGATGTGCATGTTGACAAGGTGACTACCTGTCTATTACCCACTACCTCGTCCATACTGGCTCCAGGAGACAGTTGGTCGTTGCTGAAGGGGACGGGGTGCACGGTCCTTGTGGCCGTGCTAGGCTCGAAGAGTGGTTCCATGCACTCAGTGTGGAGCGGACTACGGTACAGCCACCGCCTTGTGTGCGCTTGATTTCCCAAATACAGTGTGCTTGTGTTTGCCTGTGAAGGAGTGTGGGCCGGCTCCGTTGATGAAACCTGGCTCCCATCCGCATGCCTCCCGGTCATATTCCTTGGGGTTTACACTGGATATGGGGTGTGTGGTTGGAGCTGTGGGTGGTGCAGCACAAGCCATTCATGGTCTCTTTGTAGGCGCAGGCGTCCTGTGGCTGGCCACAGTGACATGCAAATCCAAAAACGGATGACGCCAACCAGATATATATATATATATATATATATATATATATATATATATATATAAAACACTTTTCCAATTGCAACACAATCGGCTGAGTGCCACAACGTAAAGGAAAAAAGTAGATTGAAAGGGAAAGTAAATGTTACGGTAGAAGAGTCTCATAGTAAGTGCACCATTGCGTACGGTCCTTGGCCATATCCTCTAGCGTTTGCAACCAGATGTGCTCGGGGTCCTTTGGTTGCCAACCCGGGAGTCGGGAATACCCAACAACAGCCAACTTCAACGTTTACGCCTAAACGCATTGGATCCAAGTTTTACATTACTCTCCTTTTCGTCGCCTCCACCCCACGACTTTGCTCGCAAATAGAGCTCGTCGTGGTAGCGACACTAGCCTTGGAGACACGGGGGGAGACCTCATCTGTGAAACTGCCAATGCTAAGACAACTCTCAAGCTAAATGAATTTGTCGACCACTTTCAGTGGATGCTCCGAAAGGGCGAGAGGACATGCAATTGGCCAATCCTGTAACAGGAGGTTACATTTGGAAGGGGCAAAGGTCAACCCAAATTGGGAGGCGGACATCTCCAGCCTGAGCAGCACATGCTTGGCGGCTTGAGAGGACTCGCAAATCACAGCGATGTGATCGGCGTACTCTAAGTCCCGAAGGCGGTCAACAGGGAGCAGTTCAACACCGCAGAACTCAGAGTTGTCCAGGGCACTATCCAGCATCTCGTCCATGGCGAAGTGGAACAAGAATGGAGAGGCTAGGCAACCCTGTCTAACACCGATAGTGAAAGGGGTAGAAGTGTCTCCGTATGCTCGCACGCGGCCTGATGTTTGATGGTAAATAGCACGGAGAATGCTGATGTAATTCTCAGGTACTCCCCACTTCAGTAAGCAATCCCAGAGAACCACTCTGTCAACAGAGTCAAAGGCGGCTCAAATGTCCAAGAATATGAGTATAGTTGGTCGACTGAACGTATGGCGATGTTCAAGTATCTGACGGATCGTAAAGATGTGATCAACGCAACTGCGACCCGGGCGAAATCCAGCTTGTTGTTCACGCAGGTGCTGTTCCCGTACGCAACTGAGCCTCCGTAAGAGTAGGGCAGCGAGCAGTTTGGATGCGACACAAATGAGACTGATGCCACGATGATTGGAGCAAATGGTCTGGTCTCCTTTTTGTAATCAGGTACAACATCCGCTAAATTCCAGTCGGATGGAATGGTTTCAGAAGTCCAAATCTGCTGGAATAGAGATGTCAGTTCGCGAGTGAGAGCAGGACCTCCATATTTGAAGAGGGCAGGAGGAAGTTCATCTGGGCCAGGTGACTTGTGGCGTTTTAGTAGGCGAAACTCATAGGAAACCTCAGCCTCAGTCAGTGGAGAAACATCCATGCACCAGAGAACACTGTGAACCCCGGAAGATGGACTCGGTTGCGCTGGTGGCTATTTCAATTGATCTTCAAAGTGCTCTGCTCATCGTACCAGACGACTGTGAATTAGTTCACCGTCATTTTCACGCAAAACCTCACTCACTAATGGTCTTCTGCCTCCTGTGGAGCGAATAAGTCGGAAGAGTTTGTGGGTTTCCTGATGAGGCTGCCCGCTTCATCTCAACGACGCGCTGTGTCCACAAAACCTCGCGATCCTTCCTGAGGAGCTGTCTGAGCTCAGAACCTGTGGTTCTGCGTAGTGCGTTGTACTCAACTCCGGCTGGGATTGTTTGAGGAGTTTCCATTAATTGGAATGCGCAGAGACCCAATGACTAGCAGCTCGTCTAGTGAGGCCACAGACCGAGGTAACGGACTTTCGTAAGGCGCTCTGGATATGTGCCCAGTGTGTCTCAAGATCGGAAGATAGAGGACGCAGGTTGGAGGCTAATGTGTTCCGAAATGCGCCGAAAACATTTAGCGTGGCGAGCTTCTCTGTGTCAAGCCGTTTCCGGCGGCGCTGTTGGATGCCTCCAACACAATTTGTCCTGCCTTCTTCCGTAGTTCTTGTGCTGCTTTCTTCAGATCGGCCTCTCATTAGATGATTGTGATATGAGCATCCAGTAGCCTACGAGGTATTTACTGTGTTAAAGCTCCAAGGTTCTATTACGACCCCCACTGTACTTGCTGGACACGGAAGAAAATGAACGCCGGACGGGAGGAATAGTACACCGGTTAGAGTGCTGTTTTTGGACGACGTAGCACTTAACATTTGTCTGGCCATAGTATTAATGTGGGAAGTTCATGATCATGTTAGCTAAAGACGGGAACTGAGTCGGTTTCGCGCTAAAGGCACGGCAGTGAGCCTGAACAGGTTCAATGGACAAATAAGAACAAAGAGCGTGCGAAACATCAGAGGCGATAACACAACCACGCTCGCGTTGGAGGAATGGGCTTGAAAGCACGGAGCAGTTGTCCGATCGGTGGCCCGTGCGGAAGCACATAGAAGTTTAACAAAACTGAATCACTGAAGTGGATAAATTGTTAGTTTATACTGGCAAATGGGCTGTGTTGAAATGAAGAGCTCGTAAGTCACAACTCGCCTACGAAGCGACGGAAACACAGTGGGACACGAATATTCCGTTTAGGCGTAATGAACATGAAATCGTACCTGCCTCTGAAGATTTGGGTGTCACGGTCAAAAATACACGTTTGATCAAATCGTACAATGTGACCCAAATGATACAAAATATGATAAGCAAGTAAACAGTTGCAATATTATGTAGTCCGATGTGCGGTCACGTAGTCAATAACACGAGATCGCGGAACGGTAATAGTGGCGACCGATAAAATGTTTCGAATATGGAAAAAGAAAAACGAGTGCAAAGGCATAGAAAACTTGTGGCGCGACGGTCCGACGATCATATATGGCGCTTGCGTTCAGACGCGGGGTCACGGGAGCCGAATTGGTGGGGCAAGAAGACGCCACCGCAGGCGTGTGGGTAAATGCAACGGACACAAATAATGAGTGGGGGTGGCAACCGGATCAGATGGAACTTGCCTAGAAGGCAACCATCGGGTGAAGGGAGATAAGGCACGGATAATGATCAGTGAATGATGCATACAACAGAGACACAAGCTCAAGGTAATGCGCAAAGAATAAGGTGCACATAAATAGGTACAACGAGCACAATGAAAGAAGGCGCGTATAGATCATCAGCGTAACATAAGGGGAAAAAGGAACGGAGAGGGACGGAGGTACATGCCACTGATCAGAACCACATTTGAACGTGACGGGAGATTGCAACATCAATCACAGATGCCCACACATGACAGAATAGTGGGAAAAGGGCGCAGAAGAGCCGAAGCGTAGTGTTGGTGGGCACGACTGGCCACCGGTGATCAAGACACTGAAGAGATGGGATTGCGGGGAGTGCCCATTTGGGTGAGGACCCGATCAAGCCATTGTAAGGGGCCGTTCAGGTGAATTTCGACCCAGCATGGAGTTGATGTGACATCTTGGCGGTGATACTCTGCACCCCAACCCTTTACAAAACTCATCCGAATGGTGCACATTTTTGTCAACTCGTACACCGCTTCGAACCCGTGATGTACGGTACGACTGAGCAGATGGGCGAACTCCTGATTAGAGAAAATTTTGAGGGAACAACCGGGTGGAATTTTGCACACCGTAGTCGGGTGGAAATTGTGGTGGTAATTACAGTTCCGGGATTGCACGAAGATGCTGCTGTCCGATAGGCACTCGGCGTACACCTCCCCGACTACGTAGTACAGATGGACGCCTAAGGATAGAGCGGAAAGGACAGGCACGTACGATCATAGAGATTGAACAAACTTAAGGAGGAAATGAGATATAATGCTGAATAAATGCTAGTATCACAACGACAGAGTGGCGCCCGATGAGAGTACGCAAACAGTAAGCTGGAAGTAGAAATCATACACATCGAACCCAATATCTGTGATCGGCAAACGACTGAAGCCAATAGGACCTAAGCTCGGAGCGAGAGTTGCTACATGGGACAAGTCGGAATGCTGCACTGCTCGTCAGTGGGTGAGAATACTGAAACGGCTTTGAAGTACGCCATATGTAAGGAAACTGTCCAGAAAAAGGGTGTGTTACTAGCGACTAAGAGCACAGATTTCGACAATGCGTGTACGATAAAAACTTCGCTGAGCAAAGCGTGCCCAAGCGGTGCAGTAGGCTAATACAGTTAAGTAAGGGTTGGTGAAATTATAAAAACCGACACTGTTCTGATAGTTGCACAATTGCACCGGTTCACACACACACAGTGCTTAAAATATGCGAGGGCCGATAAAGAGACAGGGTGGAATTGTGTCACCGGCTTCGTTTGTTGAACGACGCTAATGATCAAGGGAAGGACTTGTACTAGCGTAGGCTGCTTACACAATTTGGGGTTGCATTAGCCCGACTGTAAAGTGGCTTCAACATGGTCAAGTCGCGTTACTCCCCACTTCTTGCCAAAATAGTGCCGATTTTCTGCTTAAACAGTGTCCAACTTGATTTGAAAAACGTCCCATGTGAAGTGAAAATGGCAAATTTAATCGAAGCACTTGTTTTTGTCTACGAAAGTTGTAGTTCCCATTCCTGAAACAAAAATCGTTATGTATCGCTGGGTTTTCGGCGATCGGTGATGCAGTCGGGAAGACGTCTGCCAATAACCGCCGATTCACTGGTTTCAGTTCCTCTCACAGTCACCTTAACTCGAAAAGTGTACATAGGGGAGAAAACAGTCGTGGAGCGCAGTATTTGGGGGAAACAATAACAACAAGTCCCAATCAAGATGGCTAATGATCGCCCTGGTAACCTCAAATGAGATGACAAGAGTAGATGCTACGAGGTACCTATCCTTAAATTGGAGTAACGCCAATGTAATCATACGCAACAAAGACACGCACAGAGATGCTACCGGAGCGAGCGACAACGCAATGCACTATCATGGCGATGGCGACTACAATCAGAGGAGTAGGGCAAAATCGGATCGGTTGCGATCGAGTTAATGGTAAGCGATCGGAAACGATGGTAAAACCAGGTTGTTGTTCGAACGTGATCGAGACACGGTCACACGCCGACGAAATTATAGAGCATGCATAAGAACGGATGTTAGCAAAATTTAGCAGAAGTCAAAAAGATGGGCCTACTGAAGTCAATCAGAGGGATGGAGAATAGACGTGTAAACGGCAAGGAGCGCGCGAAAGCCTCGAGTGGACTAGCAGTAGGTCAACTCGTATACTGAACTCCTATCCAACAAGTAATACTGTTATGTTGATAGTCTGACACTCCTCCATAGTCAAAAATAATGCTGTGGTTTCCGGACCACAGTATACGTATCTGTACACTACGCAGTTCATCAGGTGTGCAACGACAAATCAGCGATTTCATAGCCCTAATGATCCTTGTTTCAAGTTGGGACATCTTAGTCTTCATCTCTCATTACCGCCATGGGGGCCATGGGGGTCCACCTGGTGTATTTTAAAGCTCCATCAAGCCAGTTTGAGATAAAAGATAAATTAATCAATTAATTTCGCTAGACAGGATGTCGATACACAGAGTAATCCTGTCATTTCGTAGTAGTCCGAAGCAAGAGATTATCACCGATACGTTTAGTATTGCTGATAACATTGATTCTTTGACAAATCCCGGTACGGACCTGAGTTCGCTTCCTCAGCCCTCAAGAACAACAAGGTTTCAGCCTATTTTAACATATTGACTGACACGAACTACAGCGAAAATATCCATACTCCAACCATGTCTAATCGCACTACAGCCAATAACGTAGTTGCTCCACGTCTGTCTGTTAAAGCTAACATCCCTTTTGAGGAGTGCCAATTCCGAGCATCTCTATCAAAGCAAGTGCATTTACCGGCCAACAGTAAAAATGTATCTCACAACTAAGAGACACTGGACATGGTAAATTGAATTTGCCAAGAGACAACAAATACAAACTCAATACAGCCAGACCGATAAATACGACGAAACCAAGCAAGATGCAACTCCAATATATACAAGCAAACTTCCTGGAGTAAGCAACACATGCCGAGAATCTGGCTATAACTATGGTTGACGGCATCTGGTTTCGGATTTGCTTGTCATTGTGGCCAGCCACAGGACGCACGCGCCTATAGAGGGACCATGGATCACTTGCGATGCACCACCCACAGCTCCATCCACACACCCCATATCCTGTGTAAACCCAAAGGAATAAAACCTGGAGCCACGTTTCGTCAACGGAGACGGTCCACACTTCTTCACAGGCAAACACAAGCACACTGTATTTGGGAAATCAAATGCACACAAGGCGGTGGCTGAACCGTAGTCCGCTCCACACTGAGTGCATGGAACCACTCTTCGAGCCTAACACGGCCACAAGGACCGTGCACCCCATCGCCTCCAGCAACGACCTACTGTCTCCTGGAGCCAGTATGGACGAGGTAGTGGGTAATAGACAGGTAGGCACCTTGGAAACATGCAAATCAAGCGCAGCCACACCTGGGATGTCAAACAACAGCCAATCATTCGAAATGCCGATATCGAATAAAGTTAACGCATATGACGACATAAACACTCGCTAAATGAGAATGTGGAAGAAATTGGTTATAAGTGAATCCGCAATAGGTACAAAATGTCCGAAAGTTATTTTTAAAAAACCACGCGATAAAATTACGCAAGTTTACCACAATTTGCATGAGCGGCGTGTGCAAGTTAGGAGATTATCAAGTACGCAGAACAAACAAATAAAGTGGAATGAATTTTATCCACATCAAGAAAATCTAGTTTAAGTATAAGTTGGTTTAGCCCAACTGCGGTGAAGAAGCATCAAGAATGCAAAATCAGCCTCAGCATGGGACATGCATATATATATATATATATATATATATATATATATATATATTGCTACAAACCCGCCAAAACCCACCTGCGTCTGGCCGTCGTCGTAGGTGCGTACCCTACTACGATCGCAAAACGTATGCGAATTGTTCCAGTACCTACAAGGCTGCGTGTGACGGTTGTCAAGCAGATTCTAATCTGTCTCTGCAATCACATTCCCGCACTACATCTCCTCTCCACTGACTTGTGGGTCAGGCTATTGAGGCAAAGCCTCCGGGTGGAGTCCCTCAAGCAAACATCTGAAGCACAACCAGCACCACGCGTGCGATTGTCCACCAATGCAATCATATGCCTGTGCACAAAGCACACAACATCGGGTGCTGGAACGTGCGCACATTACTGGACCAGAACTCGTGTGAGCGCCCCGGGTGACGCACTGCACTCGTCGCGATGGAACTGGTGAGCTGCAACATCGATACTGCGGCGCTCAATGAGGCCCGGTACACTGAGCAATGTAAGTTGCATGAAGCTGGTGCCGTCTGTACGTTCTACTGGGTGGGAAACGCCAGCTAAACACCGCGAGCACATGGGGTCGGATTTGCAATATCCGATCGCCTAAATGGCCAGCTTTGGATGAACCAACAGGCATCAGCGCGCGACTGATGACTGTTCGCCTACGACTCGGAAGAGGTAAGTTTGCCATTTTTATAAGCATGTAGGGTCTGACCATGTGTTATCCTGAAACGCGTGATCAATTCTACACTGAGCTATCCTCCGTGATACGGTCTGTGCCGAAGAGCGACCGACTATTTCTGCTGGGTGATTTCAACGCGAGCGTTGGACGTGATATATCAGTGTGGACCGATGTCAGCGGTCCGCATGGCATTGGTTCAGCGAATGCGAACGCTGACAGGCTGCCCTCACTTTGTGCCACTCAAGGCCTGACGATCACGGACACTCGATTACACTGAGTGCGAGTGATATGACAACTTGGACGCATCCACGGAGTGGTCACACTCACCTGCTCGACTATGTCATCGTACGTCAGCGTGATATGCGTGAAGTGCGCATGACACGTGTACTGCGTGGAGCTGAGCACAAATTGAGGCGGACCAAACTCTACATATATTTTCGCAAATTTATGTAGTGAACTCCCGCCGTGAAGCGGCGTAAATTTAACATTCTCTCTCTCGGTAGTATGGCTAAACGTATGGAGCTGGAGAAGGCGATGGCTGCACACCTATGTGATGTGGAATTCATAGCCACAGTTGGCGACTTGTGGCACCACATTCGCGACCAGGTGACAGCTGCAGCCGAGAAGACCACCGGGCGCGCAAACTGTAAGCCGCCTGATTGGTTTGATGACAACAATGCGACGATTGGCGCATTGGTGTCGGAGAAGAATGCAGCATTTGCTGCACATGTGGCAGACCCCAGTGACTTGGGGAAGAATAGTCAGTATCGCAAATTTCGACGGCAACTGACTCGAGAGCTCTATCGCGTTAAAAATGCATGGTGGACGGAGAAGGCGAAGCAGATGGAATGCTACGCCGAACGCCGTCAACACAGGGAATTCTTTGACTCCTTGAAGACGGTGTATGGACCGGCCGGTGGCCGAGTGTTCTGCACGTTTGCTTTGCAACCATAAAGTCACCGGTTCGAATCCGCGTAGGGGTGGGCGTCCTCGCGGTAAACTGAGCCCGCGCGCGACTGATGGTTGAGCGGCAGCGAAGCGCCGTAACGGCGTACAGCTGACACGTTATTATTATTACTATTATTAGGTGTATGGACCGAGATTGGAGCCGCTGAGGACGCTGATGGATGGTAGCTCTGGCGCTACCTGCACGCAGACTTCAGATAGAATGCAGATCTGGCAAAAACACTTTGACCGCCTCTTGAACAACTGTTCAGAGATCGACTCGGCTATCTGAACGG